CTGAAACTGAACTTTCTGCGTATATCAGAGGCCAAACTAACCGGAGTCCCAAAAGGTAAAAACTTAGCTTTGTGGCTAAAATGCTAGAGATCTTTCAACATTCTAGTATTTGGTAGATTTACAGTAGAGTGTTTTCTTTAGTAAATATATACAGCAGTGTTTTTATGTGCCCTGTAGCACATTGTGATAGACCCCAAAAACATTTGAATGCTCAGATTTCTGCATCTATCCCTTTTAGATATTTAAATAAAAAGCAAATGGTCAACATGACAAAAAAGGAATGTCCAGCAAGACACAAATCTGTTGTCTCGCTGAAGTGAAGTCTTAGATCTATGTTATCTGCACTTCAGATCTCCCACAGAGTCTCCATGAGCTTCATCTGGACCACAATCAGATCCAGGCTGTGGAGCTGGAGGACCTGAGCCGCTACAAAAACCTCTACAGGTCTCCTTCACACTCAAACACCAGACTCATTTCTGAGCACAGCTGAGTTCTTGCACCCTGATCACATTCCCAGTCAGCAGTGCCCCTTAGGGGTAATAATACAAATTACATTGACAGGCCACTGAAAGTAGCAGGGAGCTGACCCACACCGTGCAGCATGTGTGGTGTGAAGACATCACGGGCAAAACCATGAAAGGTTTAAAAACATTATAGGACAACTTTTGTCAGATGATTTGAATATTTATTTGCTGCACATGTTTGGACAACATATGAAAATATCTTCTGTCAGAAAGAGCCATCATGTCTTTTAATGGCTGTTCCAAGTTTCTTCCATCTCTTTTCTGCATACGTCTCCCCTGCAGGATTTCTCTCGTGTTAAAGGAAAAGCATTAGAATGTCTAGAAACCAAAAGTAATCACAGAGAGCACAAATGCAGTCTGTATGGAGTTCAAACTGTAGGCTACTTATAAAAGAAATACAAAACAAATAGACGTAGCCACTGTGAGATCAACCATTGGTTTCTGTGATCCACATTTTGCAGTAATGTTGTTTTCTCGGACGATGCGGTTATCATTTTTAGATAATACAGTGGAGAGGTCCTGTTCACCGACTTTAACCCTTATAAGTGGCTCAAGACGACCTGGTGAGGTTGTTGTCTTGTAGTATCTTTGTAATGAAAAGTTGTAATTATTTCATATTTGACCAGTTCCTCAAAAAAACATGTTTTATATATTGAAATTTTTACCTGACCTTTCCTACATTTGACAAAATGACTTGCATCTTCTTTCTATGGAATTTCATGGGACCCTTCTTATCAACTGGGGCTGTCAGCGATATATATTTTTGGACCACAAAGAGTGCAACCTCTCAAGGATTATTTAACTAACAGACAGCCTTCATTCAGCCTTCAGGCAGCGATTCATCCCCACTGTAGGCGACTAGCTTGTGCCAAAGTTCATAAGAATCTGGGGGAAACCACTGACCAGCAATTGTGCAGTCCGTTCAGAAAGACAAGATGCAGCATCACCACGGATAACGTTCCCCCCTGTGTGCCTTTTGCTGCTGGAGACACGATTGTGGGGACTCTACAATAGGACAAAGCAGACATCCTTCCTCTGATGAAGGCTACTGACTCCTGGGGCGTTTACAGCACTGAGTTTGGATTCAATGGCAGCCTTACAGTGCTCAGCTAAGTCAGCAAGAGATGAATGACTGTTGTACCCCTGAGCACAATGTATCACAACAAAATGGTGGCTGGTACCAGAAAAGTGAAAAACCCCCACAATTTTTCATATTCTAAAACAAGACCAAAGCAGATGTAGATGCTATGGACCAGATGGTTGGCACCCACTCTGCACCTGCAAGTGTAAAACATAGAGGTGGCCCATGCTGCTGTGGTACAACTTGACATTGCCACCCTTGATGCCGACACCTTCTTCACAGCTAAGCACCCTGAATTCAAGAATGGTATCACCAACGCATGATGGGTCTTCCTGGTGTGGCAATAAGAGAAGTCGGCTGGAAGTTGCCTCCAACTGCAAACTCCAATCAATGAAGCAAAGGTGTAGGGTGCCAAAAGCTAAAACTCGGCCACAGGAAAACAGCAGACAGGGCCAACCAAAGACAACAATATTCCATATAACAAAGATCATAAAGTCAGCAGTCGGTGTGGAAATGCACTGTGTGCAATGATTACAGCCAGAAACAGCTGGTTTGTCACAACTACAGTGAAGGACAAGGCAATAAAGAGAGAGGAATTGTCTGGACACATGTGCATATATTCTCTTTCACACAAACAAATTGATCTCAACGTTGTTCTGTTGTGTAATTTTTTTCTATTCTAATTTTCTAAACGTTTAAACATGAAATCATCATCTTGTGTGGAACAAAGTTTAGTACAAAATGTAACACAAATGATTATTTTTAACCAAAATGACAAAAGTATAAACACAACGATCTTAACACGCATCATTTTTGACCCACCTATGGACGAGTGGAGGGTGAGGTCACTCGTGCATGTAAAGGTTAAATATTGGAGGTAAGGACTGGCAGACAGTGACTGGCTAAAGCTCCTTGTGCCAGCAGAGCACTGCCCTGACTATCAGCCACTATCACAATGAAGTGGGCTAAAAGACGTTCACCATGAAGATGTTATGAAGGGTTAAACTATGTTTTTATGCCACATTGCAAACATGCTTTTATTGCTGTTAGCGTGGGCATTTTAACATGAACGTCTGTGGGGATTGAGACACTTTCCGTCCTCGAATAGCCCCAGCAGGTACCTCATTTTTTGCCACATATGCTTCATTTTTCAGCCCATTAAGTTGCTACACAGATGAGAACAAAGACTTTCTTCCTCTGCTCCTGTGGCATCGTGCTGCATTTATAGTAGTAGAGACAGGCTGACGTGGCCCTATTCCTCACCTGGCTTAATATAACTTTCTTAAAGTGATAATAATCTGGAATTATCCTGTTATTTCGGCTTACAATACATGAAACATTTGAGTGCAATGTGCCATGCATTGGCCCATTTTCTGCCTGTTTAAAATGTTCCTTTCGCCTGGCATTTTCCAGGTTGGGCCTTGGGTTTAACCATATCCGCAACATAGAGAACGGCAGCCTTTCCTACCTGACCATGCTGAGAGAGCTGCATCTGGACAACAACCGCCTCACTCGTGTTCCCCAAGGCCTTCCAGATATGAAATACCTGCAGGTGAATCTAATGTGTGCAACCAATTTTGATTTCCATTTGGTATTGATTCTCACAGTGCTCTCTTCTACTGTCCCTCCTTTGCCACTGCGGCTTTTTTTAGGTGGTTTATCTCCATTCCAACAACATCAGCCAAGTGGGTGTGAATGACTTCTGTCCTCGTGGATTTGGGATGAAGAGGACATTCTATAATGGCATCAGCCTGTTCTCTAACCCTGTCAAGTACTGGGAGGTGCAGCCAGCGGCATTTCGCTGCGTGAGCGACCGGTTCGCCATTCAGTTTGGCAACTACAAAAAATAAAAACCAGGCAGACGCTGGAAAAGAGGGAGGATGATTGATGAAGGGATGAAGAACGGATAATTTAAATAATGAAATAAAACTTGAGATATGGAGTGAGGTGAATTTATATCTGAGATTATTAATTTTATTATTATTGTTTTTGTAAAGAGGATAAGTGAGGAAGAGGGTGGGCAATAAACTGATGAAACAGGCAGAGAGGAAGTGAAAAATACAATCCCATAACTTGAAGGGAGTGGAAAGCAAAAGGCTTACAGTTCTGCATGTGAATTTTGCTTGTTTTGAATTCAAGGTTCTGAAAGTTTTTTCTGTTTGATGAAGTCAAAAATGAGAAGAATGTTTCATTCTGAGGAAAACCGAGTGCTTAAAACTTGTGAAACGCTCCATTTTTTCACAATAGTTCTTATTGTAATTGAGGTCGTTCTTCTTATATTAACATTCTGGTTACGATTATGAGAAAAGAAATAGAAAAGGCAGCGCATTATAGATTTTTATATATAAAAGGTGCTTTTTATAACTTTCTGTGTGTTGATTTGGTAAATACATTAAGTCCTCCCTGTTTCACTGGTCTGAAGCCATTTGGCTTGTCACTCTGTGATTAAATTATACTGTATTTATAAACCAAAATTTGGGCTTTTCCCACCATCTACAGACAAAAAGGTTGCACTAAAATAAAAACTTCAGTTCAAGATAACAACAAGTGGACTCAACAACAACAACAAGTGACAGGTTTAAATTCTGCTAAATAAATGTGCCTATTGAACATATTTGACTGAACCACCACCCTGTGCCATTACTACATATTACACCATCTGAGCAATACCTTAATACAGTATTTCATACGGGAGCAGTACAGTAGTGGGAATGTGCCCAAGATGGAGACAACACACAGTCCGCTTTGCTTTGAAACAATGAAAGTAGTGTGTTCACTCTGTGCTACAATCAGTGGTAGTGTCATTGCATCGTTTTGCACAGTTTTTTCTGCTTTGCCTTTTCTGCTTGGAGGTTTACTACGAGGCTAGCCTTTTGTTTTGTTTTGCATTTGTAGACCTATGTGGAAATACTTTAATATTATGTCTTACGTCCTGTCTCTCTTCTGTAATCTGACAACCTACTGCTGCATGTGAATAAAGACATTTTTAGTCTGCTGCATTAAGTGCAAGAACAACCGATCGCCCTGGGTTTGATGCTCTGTGAGAAATAAAGAAGAAATACCAAAAAATGGAAAACATTTGATGAATGAATCATGAACTTTGTACAGAAAGAAGCTAAAGAGAGTTGAAGTCTTTTAGTTCAGCCTGACAGAAAATGATTCTACAGACAAAGGTGGTATTCCTGTGTATTCTAGGTGAGAACTGTTTCATGCACAACATATACTGATAACAGTGCTCTTTCAGAGCTGATGATCTCACCCACACAGAGAAAAGAGGGCGGTGACGCAGGAAATTCGCCCTAATCAGTCAGTACTGGGTGGAAGGGAAAAACCTGTGAAATAAAGTCACTGGATACATTTAAATTTTCCTTATGATGGCACAGTCAACCTCTCGTCATCATTATTAGCATTTACTGCGCACGGTCAGATCTTCACTGCTGGCACAATCACACTCTCCTTTAATTTTCAAATGTGCCGCTGTGCGCGTCACCGTGGTGCGCCTCTCCTCCGTGTTCCGATGAGGCAGAGCGCACTTGTCTGTGTGTTTTGTGTTGACACTAGAGGGGTATGCGGCGATGATCTTGCGTGTGAAAACGTCTGCAGCGGTTTCGGAGCAGCTACGGACACATTTCGCGTTGGACGAGAGACTAGGAGGAGGGCAAAGACGATCGACCGGCATCAGCAGGAGAAAAACAGCATCGCATAGTCCATCGCGCCGCTGTAGCGACCGTAGCGGCCCGTCGATTCTCAGAGGAAGCCAGGAGCTGGATTTGACATGTCGCAGGGATGTGCTGGTGAGTCGGCTCGTGCATCGGGGTGCGGGGAAGCTTGCGCGAACCTGGGAATAGAAATCTTTGACGTAAACGAGAGCCTTTGCGGGTAACGGGAGAAGTCGCGTACACAGCAATGCTGCTGCATACATGTCACTGACATATTTTCCCTTTAGTTATGTAAATACTGCAATACATGCTCACTGCATGGGCCTAAAGATGGATGCTCATAGGCTAATCACCTGCATGGCAGGTTGTCCCCGGTCATAACCACGGCGCCTTTGCGTTCATCCACTTCCTATTCTTCTTCTTGTTTTTAAGTGAATGAACTGTCGTCTCCCTGGGAAACTTAGCATCATATTAAGTGATTAAGCCACTCGCGCTTGGATAGCTGTCGCATCTAACTGTTTGGACTAAAGGGGCTGCGATGTTGGGTTCATTTGTTTGATCAGACTCGCTTCCATACGTGCATCATGAAAAATGCCAGCTGAAACGAAGCCATTCTAAATAAAGAAGCAAACATGAATGACATTTGTTTGTAGCTGCTTGTCATTCCCTGGCCTATTTTAGCTGGGACAGGACTGGTGCTGCATTGTTATGCATTCAGTTCTTTTCTTTACCTCGCAGAGAGCCTGATGATGACAGGAGGAGGAGAAGGAGAGAAGTGGAGCGAGGCTTTACTGGTCCCTGACAGGTTTTAATTAGACCCGTACAAAAACAGGTGCCTGACATCTAGACTGTTGTAATGTAATAATGATACAAACAACAACGGTCACCATAAGGTAACAGCTGTTCTTTTTCTTTCAGCTGACGCTTTGTGGTCAGAAGGTGATGGCAGTGCTGACTGAGCTTCACCACTACTACCACCCATTCCTAAAAATGGAAGCCCACCTCCAGTGCACCTGAGCCCACATTTAGTGCTCCTTTCTTCCCCTCCCTCTCCTTCTGCCTTTCCTTGCTCATTCTCCACCTCTTCCACAACCCCCACCTCACTTAACTGCAATACTTCCCCTCATCTCCTCCCATCTCTCCACTCTGTTTCCCTAGAATAATGGCGTACTGTGGGCGCTCTCTGGACTCTCCATGCACGTTAGCCTTGCTGATAGGCTTCCAGTTTGCCTTTGTGCTCTATTTCTCCCTTGGGGGCTTCAGAGGCCTGGTGTCTGTCCTGGTGCACACCACAGAGCCCGAGTTTGATTACTCTCGACCACATGATGTATACACCAACCTCAGTCATCTGGGAGTACCGCCTCCCCCGCCTCGCAACTCTGGCACTGGACCCCCTGCCACTGGCCCACCACTAAGAGACTGCCAGATCCCTTCTCCATTGCTGGGTGAGAGAGAGAAGGGTGACAAATAAATGTTTGTGAGTGTAGCACACAGTGAAACGCAAAATGACTGTTGCTATTTCCTTTGTATTCTTGAGCTGATAGAAACGAAGCCAGAAACATTCTGTCTCCTTTCCTTTGGCCAGTTGGACCCGTGTCTGTCCATCTTTCGTCTCCTCTGTCTCTGGAGGAGATCAGACAAAGAAACCCATTAGTGTTGCCAGGTGGACGCTACCGGCCTCCAGACTGTGAACCACGCCACCACACAGCAATAGTGGTGCCGTACCGAAACCGCCAGAGCCACCTCCGTGCCCTCCTCTACCACCTCCACCCCTTCTTGCAGAGACAGCAGATACACTACAGCATCTACATAGTGCAGCAGGTCAGGTTATGTATAAGTGAGTGTGCTAGCTGTTTTATAGTGATTCCTCCTGTGTCTTGTTCAGCGTGATTGTCAGCAGCTGCATGTTTGCCTTCCATGAGCAAAAGCAAAGCATTATGCAGTGGGATTGTTGTTCTAGTGGATCAGAGGTGCTACTGAGTAAAACGTTTGCCTGCTGATGTTAAGGGTGTAACAGTAATGGTAGTGTATGTGCTGCTACAAAGTATTGGTCTTGTGATATTGGAGTATTGGGCTATGGTTTGACTGTATCTAATATATACCACTTTATTAGGGGCACTTGTTCAACTGCTTGTAAATGTAAACATCTAATGAACCAATCACTGTGCAGCAGCTCGATGCGTTTAGACATGTAGACGTTGTCATGACAACCAAACCAGCTAAGCATCACAATGGGGAAGAAAGGTGATTTCAGTGACTTAAAACGTGGCATCATGGCTGGGCTTGTCTGAGAGACCGCTGATCCATCGGGATTGTCACACACAACCATCTCTGGGGTTTACAGAGAACAGCAGAAATCAGCAGTTCAGCAGCTCTTTGGGTGAAAAGGCCTTGCCGCCCCCCTTGGCTGTGCCCCTGCCCCATTGGTCATGGTCATTATTGCTGACCATACCTATCCATATCCATCCTTTTTGCAATTGCAGTGTACCCATTTTCTCATGGCTGATTCGAATAGGATAACACACCATGTGACAAAGCTATAATAATCTCAATCTAGATTCTTGAACATGATATTGAGTTCAGTGTGCTCAAATGGCCTCCACAGTCACCAGGTCTCAATTCAGTAGAGCACCTTTGTTTTGTGCTGGAATGGAAGCTATTCCAATAAATCTACAGCAACTGTGTGATACTGTCCTTTCAGTACAGACAAAGATGTTGTTTTTAGCGCCTTGTTGAATCTGTGCATTGAAGAATCAAAGAAAGGAGGTGTACCTAATTAAAAAAGTGTCCAGTGAACACATTTGAATGTTGCTGTTTTTACAGCTCTTGTAGGACTTCTAACTAGTTTTATTGCAAATTATAGTCATTATTATTATAGTGTGGTTTCATTTAAAATGGTTGTGAGATATGTGTTTGTTAGCTTTATCTGCCTGGACCAGTGCAATAGAGGTGAATTGTTTTTAGGTTACAGCTCTCGATCTAAGCAAATCATACCTCAGATATTTCCGTGGTAGATGGGACGTCATACTTTCTGTGTATTAAACATTACATTCCCATGCTACAGCTGAATTTAACCATAGTGGTGTAGTTGGAGATTCATTTTTTCCTTCAGGTAATAAGCAAATCTTTAAAATGATGTGCTATTAATCAGTGTCAACAAATTCCCCTGTGCTCTGCTACCTCAAATATCCCTGTTGTTCAGAATTTCTAAAAACTGCTGCATTTATTTAAGTCTTCACGTATTAATGTGTAAATACATTAATCTGCCTCATTTGATGTTTCAGTGGGGAAACAGCACTTTTAATCGAGCCAAGCTGTTAAACGTTGGGGTGCGGGAGGCACTCAGAGATGAAGACTGGAGCTGCATCTTCCTGCATGATGTTGACCTGCTGCCTGAAAACGACCACAACACCTACACCTGCCACAAACAGTTTCCCACACACCTGTCGGTGGCCATGGATAAGTTCCGATACAGGTAGAAGCACAGAATAAACGAGGGTGGGGCTGGTCTTTCATACATTTGCATTGCCCTGAGACATTATTTTCAAGATTGTGCGTGCTGTGACCCTCCCAGGTTGCCATACTCACAGTATTTTGGTGGGGTATCTGCGGTGACCCCAGACCAGTACATGAAGATGAACGGCTTCCCTAACCAGTACTGGGGTTGGGGCGGGGAGGATGATGACATTGCTGCCAGGTAAAGAGGATAAATGAGGCAGACACCCTGCATGATGTAAACTGTAAACTGTGCGTGCTGGGATCAGAACTCCATGCATAACCATTTCAGTTTGCCTCTTCTTGTACTTTTTCACTCTTGCTCTCGTCAGTCATCATTTTCTCATGTTTACAGCTTCAGTACCGCATGTTTTCTTTTGCTTTGACTTATATTTTATGTCCTAACATCATCTTTCATCTTCATGTCTCCTCCCATTGCTGTGGCTTTGCTCTTTGTATGTCTTGCAGTGGGCACAATGGGTATGTTCACATGCACTAGCTTGCAGACTTGGACTAGGCTGTGTGCTTAAGAGTTTTCAAACTCTTCTCATTTCTTTACTGTGCTCCCCTCTTTCCACTCTGTGGCTTTTCCAACATTTGCCAATCTGTAACAACTGAGTGCAACAATAAAATTTAATTAGGACAACACATCCAAGAATGTTTCACAACCTTTGGAAACACTGCCTTTTGTGCATGATCTTTGCAAATTATATCATGCAGAGAACATTCGCAGCATTAGTTACACCCTGTTTTGGTTGATTTAGATAACTGGAGTGGTACAAAAGCAACAGATGGAAAAGAAAAAGGGAAGCGCAGTATATTCTTCCACCCATAAGACATGGCAGTTTGTTTTCACCCTCTTCTGTTCGTAATCCTGATTTTTCCTTCTTTAAATGTAGCCCGCAGGGGGCTAGATGTTTATGTAGTTTGTTTTTGTGAGATTAGCTTTGCAGTTTTATGCAGCACATGTTTAAGAGTCTGTTTTTGGCTTACTGTTGTGTGCTGCTGATCCAGAGTGCGTCTGTCTGGCATGAAGATTGTGCGCCCTCCAGTGGCCATTGGCCATTACAAGATGATCAAGCATAAAGGAGACAGAGGCAATGAGCAAAATCCACGCAGGTACGTACTGGCACACTCACAGGCATGTAAAATATTTGTAAAGACTTCTCTTTCTTCATCTGATCTAATGGAATATCTGCCTCAGTAAAAGGGGAAGATATTCAAACGACCTGATCACGTCATGAACTTTTCTTGTCTCCAGCTGTTCCCATGTTGAGTTTTTACTGTTATAGTTGTTGCTTTTTGTCTGTTGACTCAGTGATTTGTACAGTTTGTCCTCTGCTTACTTTCCCTCAGGGCGTGTGCTTGTATCTTCAGACTGATTGTATCTAAAACGTAATTAGGTCTTATCTCATTCTCCATGTCATCAGCCTTTTATTAACTTTTATGGAAAGTCTTTGTCATTAAAAGCAATCACTTTGCAGTATATACATCTTTGCCTCCTTGCAGAGAGCCAGATGAAAAGCTTTATGCTGGGTGAAACCTTCACACAATCTTAAATATGGCTTTTGTCATTCTAGGTTTGACCTTTTGAAAAGGACCAGGCTCAATTGGCGCTCTGACGGCCTTAACTCTTTGACCTATGAGCTGCTTTCCAAAGAGCTTGAGCCGCTGTACACCAACCTGACCGTCAACATTGGAGAAGACCCCCATCTGGCCCTGGGCAGGGCCCCCATTCCTGTGAAAGCAACAACCCCTGCCCACCGACGTAGCACCAGCAAGACAGGAGACCCATTCAAACAGGGAAAGAGGCAAGAAGTGCCAGCAAATATGACCGTGGCCAAGACAGAACCTGGTCAGTCAAAGACAGCCAATCAAATAACACAGCAGAAGAAGAAGATGAAATGAGACTAGGTGCATATGAACCTGTAGCTTCCCTTTTCAGTTTGATCTGAAAGACAAAATGGAGAAAAGCAGCATAGATCTGTTCTGTCGCGGGACTTTTAAGTACAGCAGCTTTTTGTGCTCGGTGTAGGTTCGGGGTAATTAGGGGTAATTACACCACGGCTCAAATGAAGAAGCCAGTTTTGTCAACGGGGTGAAGAACACTTCTGAGTCACCTCGTCTTGGCTCATCATCTGCTAAATGTGATGCCGGCTGTGGTGGCTGACACGTCTGTGGCCGTGCTCAGCAGAACCAGAAGATGAACGATGGGCGATTCAGTCATGTCCACGCGGAGGTTCAAAACAAACGGTGAAAATGAGACAGCATATATAAAAACCTCTGCACACAGACTCGTCTGTTGCAGGCCCAGTCTGCTCCCAAAAACAAAGGAAACTGCTGCTGTCTGTCTACGCCACTCTGCAGTGGGTTTGTGTTTCTGTGCCTTCTCTCTTTTATGCGCGTTTTATAGACTGGTATAGCTGCTTTTAGATGCCCACACAAGGTTAGTTTGACCTCTTCTGCCACACGGGAAGACTTAGAAGGCAGGGATGACGAAGCTGACCCGGGATTAGAGGAAATTTGTTCAGAACTGCCATTTTATATTTCTGTGCATTGATCAAACGCAGACCAACTCGATAGATATGGGACAATTCTAGAGTTTATATTTATATAGAGAGACTTCTTTATTTGTTTACCGTTTTGTTTTACATGTCCTACCTTACAGTCTGGTGCCTCTCTCTCTCTCTCTGACATTTAGTTCATAGACAATCAAATTACATAGAAGAGAACTCTGCATTCAACCACATAACAAAATGAGGAAGTACTATCATGCCCGTGTCCACGCCTGTCAGATAAACAGACTGGTCATGGTATTCGTTGTCTAGTTTGACTATACTCTCAACACATGGATAGACCTGTGCTTCTGATATTACCTGTGATTGATTATTTTCTTTTAGATTAGTCAAGTATGGTTAAAAATAACAAACAAACTCGCAGACGACACTTAAAGCGTGTGACTTTCAGATGGTGTTTAATATCTAAAGTGGTCGTGGTTACACTGCAGCACTGTGGATAGATTTAGGTCAGCTTTTGATTAGAAGCCCTGACGTATTCGTAGGCAATATAAATGGATGTTTCTTTGCTGTATTGATTCCCTGAAATGAAGCTTCTGTGTCTTGAAGGGGATGAGACAAGCCAGCAGGACAATGTGCTTCATGTAAACACGGTCGCAGGGCTGCCAAATCAGGACATGCATGTAGGTCATTTTCTGTTGATCACGTATAATCTGAAAGCATCAAGTATTTTTTTCTCTGTTAATTTGTGATGTATTATTTCCAGTGCTCGTCTCTCTTTACCTTACGTGAGGGCAGAGTTCATGAGGGGAGCATAGTTTACTGGTGAGGGACTAGAGTCTGATTCATTCATGGGCGACAGGATTTCTTGCTGCTAATTGACTAGGAAAACTGTACAATTACAAATAGCTTAAGATGACATACTGTAACACTACGTTTGTGTTGTGACACAAACGGGTAATGTATTACTGAAGCGAATTTGAATGTATTTAATTTATTGTGTAAGTACTGAGTCACTGATAGTAATGTGCAGACCTCTGAAGGGATCTTGTGGTGCAGATGTGTGAAACACTCTTCTCCATTGCAGATCAGATTATCATTCCTTTACATCACATCTCCACATTTCTCGCATATACATTGTGCCTCGTGAGATGAGCCACTGAACTATTAAAGGTATGCTGCTGGATTTTATGTGAGCACCCTCAAGTGGCAAAGTCGGGCATAGCGCCAGCCAAGAGGGGAGCAAGGACTGAATGAAACTGCAGAGTTGTGACATGAATGTTAATCATTCGCGGTCGCCATTCACCGTTTTAAACCAATCAAATCTTTGCATTGCTCTGGGTGGACGGCTTCTCGGTTACGTCGTATCACGTGACTGATCCTGCTGGTTTCAAAGGGTAAAGTAACAGACAGCTTTGTGGACCATAATCAAAGAATCTTTGTTTATTTTGAAATAATGTTTTAAGCAAAGAATGTTATATAAAGGCCGCATTGAGAGAACACTTAGAATAAATAGGATCTCATTTCTTAGCTTTATAAACATGGTTATATATCATAATATTATCCTCCATATATCATATTATCTGGGAGAAAATCCTGTATGACATGTAACACTGACACACTGGAAGCTTTTAAGGACATTATATGGCATAATCTCAGCTGGATTAATCAGCAAACTATGTGCTTACCTGGAGACTGTTCTATATTTAATAAATAGGCTAGTTTTTATAAACATTTTCGCATACATGTTGGAAATATATATTGTTGGAAAGCAAAGTCAGTAAACAGCATCTAGATTTCATAGCAACAGTTTCTGTTTATTTGTTATTCATGAAGTTGTTGACGTTTAAATGATGAGACTCACTTGGCTGGAGAGACGAGATGCTTGCGCTCTCGTGACAAACGGCACGCGGATCGTACAGTGACGTCACCGAGAGGGACGCTGATGCCCGTCTGCAATCGAGGCTGCCTTATTTACCGACGTTATCTTGAAGATGAAAGTGTGTATGTGTGTATGTGTGCACGCCGTGTGTCAGTGTAGAGCACAGTCAGCAAAAAAGGCAACGCAAGCATATGATGGACAGTGTTGTGATAGCGAGCAAATATGTATTCCAATAAAAACGAAATCAAATAAGGCCTCATTTCGATGTTGTCTATGATTATGATCGCTGCACACATTTGATAACAGGTATACACACACACTTATGCAGCGTGCATGCCACACTATCAATACACTGCAGTGCTTATGGTGAAGCACTTACCCTCGTCGAACACTCAAAGCCTCTTAATGAATACCGCCTTTACCACTCTGATTGATGGTGCTACAGCTCAAAGACTGCAGACATCAGATGCTCATGCATGGCTGATAGATTATAAGTCATATATCACCATCCACTCATGCTGTGGAGTGGTTTAAAAACCCCTCACTAACCTGTTACATCACCCAGTGTATTGCAGGCCTCAATGTTCCATGTAAGCATCAAAAGCAGGATTAAAAAGTTGGATATGAGATCATACCTATAAATAGACAGTAACCCCCAGCTCTGTATGTTCGATCTGTTTCATAATCTAAAAAGCTGTGTGACTCACCAAGAACGGGCGAAAACACAAAATCATGAGCAGGGCTGGACAAAAACATCCCCTTACAGCCAATCCCACTGCAGCAGCAGCAAAGCCTCGAAGAGGACTGTGGGGCTGAATCAACAGCCTGATATTGTCAATGATTCCTTACTGTACAACTTCTGCTGATAGTAATCAAATGCAGTAACCATGCCCTAACAGGCTTTTGTGTGTTTTTAACCAATCAGAATTTATTAGCAACATTCCTGCTTAAAGTCTGACTGAGCAGACTCAGTAATGTAAGTAATACTGCAACATAGCAAAACCCTGAACCCCCTCAAGAGCTCAGCTTTTCATGTGCTAAAGAAAATGTTTTGGATTGTGTCGACTGCATAACTGTACTAAATATTTTTGTGGTTAGATCATTCTTTTGTATGTTATGTGCTTTTTGTGCTGTGAAACAGTCTTTAGCTTTACATTTGTGTATATTTTGCTTCAGTCAGTTCCTATAATTTTAGCCAATTTTAAACTGCACTTTTAGGCACTTGGTACTAACAGTTTGTCCAAAACTAAAAAGTTTGCATTTCTTTATTTGAGTCTATGAAAAATGCCAAAGATAACATAGTTGGATGTGTACATAATAATATTGTTGCTTCATCAAGGTCATTTCTAAAGAGCTATCAGCTGGAATCTTGGTGTGCAGTATGTCCTTAAACAATTTAAGGAAACTAGACTAGTGGAGAACAAAAGAAGTGGTAAAACAAAGTCCCGACACGGGACTGAGAGATTTATTCAGTTGATCCATCTGTTGTTCACTGAAGGCTCATCAAAAAGGTAACAGTGAAAGAGCGGCTGAGCAATTAGTAAGAATGGGCAACATTGAAGAAAAAGGCTGAGGTATGCCAGAGTACACAAGAACTGGACTCAGAATCAGTACCAATGAGACATATAGACTGATGAATCCAGTTCTGAAATGTTGGGTTCAGTCCTGGTCAGTATGTTCATAGGAGGTCAGCAGAGACAACAGTGAGTGCCTACAGCCATTTGAATAACACAGTGGAGGCTCGGTCATGGTTTTGGGCTGCATTTTAGTCAAATGTGTTGGGGGTCTCTCAAAATGGATGGAACTGTGAACACAGAAATGTACCATCAGATTTTAATCCACAATGCAAAACCATTTGGACTGATAGTGGCTTTATTTTCACCATGACAATGATCCCAAACGCACTGCCGGTGCAGAAAAACACAGTGGAACACTAACCATCATGGACTGGGCTCCCCAGAATCTGGATCTCAACATTATGAAGCAGTGTGGGATCATCTTGACAGAGAAGAAAATAAAAGGCAGCCAACACCCAAAGAAAAGCTTTGAATGTCCTCCAAGAAGCCTGGAGATCTATCACTGAAGACTGCTTCAGGAAATTACAAAAAAGCTTGCCTAGGAGAGATCAGGCTGTGCTGAAGAATAAAGATGGTCATAACAAATATTGACTTCCAAGCTCATTAAATGGGAAACTCAATTTTTGCCTTATATACTGCATTTTCATTTATTTTTGCAAATGTTTCAATGAATCGCTGCTGCGATTTCTCCATTTTCCAAGCTAAACTATCTGTATTGACCATCCTCGAGAGCGGAATGGCATTGAGGCTAATGTCACGAGACATCACTGGGTAATACTGTCTTCTGAAGTCATCACACCTGATTGTCTTTTGTGATGCTGTCATGCTCTGATGGCAGCAGTGACAGTCTAGTTTGCACTTTCCCTGCAGTAGACTGACACAGTGGCCTGCTGAAGTGACCGAGGCAGGCTGACGCACTGTAGAGGGCTGAGGCAGCCTTCGGTCAACTCCTGTTACTGTATGGGCAAAAGTCTGTCTCATAGCTGACCTCTCACACATTCAGCAATATTTTAGCCTTAGCACAAACACACACGTCACTCACAAAACCATGCACAGCCACATATCTATCTATCTATCTATCTATCTATCTATCTATCTATCTATCTATCTAGCTGTGTGCAGACTTTATCTGCAAAGGAGGGTGAGCTACTGAACACTACTATTATTCTAGAGAACCAGAGTGATGTTTGCTTTATGAAAGAAAGCGACGGGGTATCCACAATTTCGCTTGGCAGTCGTTCTTATGAATCATTACCACGCATCGATGTGAAAATCTACCACGATACTAGGTCACCACATGCAGTTATATAACCACTCTTAACGAAAATC